GTGAGCACGTAAGACAGCAAAGCAGCAGAAAATAGGATGTTTTCTGATCTCTACCCACTCACAATTTAGCTCTTTCTATGGCTAGATTCACGTTTCCCCTCTAGGAAGCTTTCAGCCCTTTCTTTAGGTTTTTAATCTCAAAGATTGCAGCTCCCTGAGTTGAGAAAGCTAAAGGGTTGGAGCGGGTTATCTTTGGCAAGGCACAGCACCAGGCAGGGGAATTATCCGTGGACAGACTTTCACACACGACAAAACCTTTCCCATGTCTGTGGGCATCTTCCTAAGCAGAGAAGTCAGTGTTGAGGGACACCTTCAGGAAGGTAATAGAACTGGCCTAAGCAGGACATATTCAGTGTGTTTTCACAAATATGAAACTAAGGAATTACCTTAGTGAGGCCGTTGATAATAGTAGTAATAATTCAGTATTTGAAGGAGCCATGACTCAATTGTGGAAGCCATGAATGCATTTCCATGTGTCCTCCCTGTGGCAGGGAGTTTTCAGGCCTTTGGGATAGACAATTATTTACCTGAAGATGATTGCACAGTTTTTTTTTTAATAAAATGTTTTATTAAGATATAATTCACATTCCATAAAATTAACTCATCTAAAGTGAAAAGTCAATGGTTTATAGTATTCACAGAGTTATGCAAGAATGATCACAATTTAATTTTAGGACATTTTATCACCTCCAAAAGAAATCCCATACCCATTGGCAGCCCCTCACCATCCACCACTTTAGCTCTAAGAAACACCAATATATTTTCTGTCTCTGTAGACATTGCATCTATTGGCCCTTTTGTATAAATAGAATCATACAATATGTGGGCCTGGAGTCAGCTCCCAGTTCTGGGAGCTGCCTGATTTGCAAATTGTTCTTTGCTCAATAAAACTATGTAAAATTTAATTTGTCTAAAATTTTTGTTTTAGCATGTGCTATTGAAAGTGGGATTCACAGCAGAGTTTCCAGTGACCACCAGGAGTTTCAAGTGACCAAATGAGCTGCCTTCTTGACCCAATACATTCATTGCTCTCACACGACCACTGAGGATTGTGGGTAAGTTTTCTCTTGGATTCCAAATTTCCATGGATTTGTGTTTTAAGCTATCTGACTTCGAGAAAATGTTTGATCTGAACTGAGTTTGGAAGTTGTGGCAGAAACTGGACTGGGCCCAGGATAAAATTAGATACAATAACTTACTAGATTGAATCCAGTTAGAAGCTTCAGATGTCTGACCATGTCAGACAGAAATTGGCATTAAATGATAATTACAATAGGAGTGGCAAACTTCAGGTTTTAGGGATTTTATGGTTCCTTTTCTTTTCTTTTTTTTTTTTTTTTACACTGAAGTAGGAAAAAGTTATTGGCAACGTTATCAAGGTTATCTTAGAACCAAAAACAAAGACAAGATTCTGTGAAAATGGGATTTTTAATTTCTGAAGAACTGAGTACTCCACCTTCTTGCTGTACTTATTTTACATGGACTGTATGCATATTAGACTCCCAAAACAGCAAATGCTTACAAAACTGACAAAATCTTACTAAAGATAATTTAAAATTATGATAGAACATTCCATGTGAACAACATTACATTTTAAGAAATGCATTTAAAAATGAAGCCTCCTGAATTAGGCTTGCTCAGGGATGTCTATTCATATGCAGAAGCTTGTAAGAAGATTTCAAAATTTCTCTTGCCTCTTTTAAAAGAGATTTTACAAAACGAAAAGTTTAAGTGCTTCATTGATAAGGAATGTTAAGTATGATAACCTTTTGATTTAGTTATGTTACTGGAAAGGGATCCTGATTCAGACTTTCAGAGAGGGCTCTTGGATCTCAAATAAGAAAGAATTCAGAGTGAGTCCATAGTGCAAAGCAAAAGCAAGTTTATTAAGAAAGTAAAGGAATAAAGAATGGCTACTCCATGGGCAGAGCAGCCTATTTTTATGATTTTTTAAAAAAAAAATTATGTGTGATATGTTTTGGCTATGTCCCCACTGAAATCTCATGTTGAATTCCTGAGTATTGTAGAAGGGACCTGGCAGGAGGTGATTGAATCATGAGAGCAGGTCTATTCCATGGTGTTCTTGTGATGGTGGGTGAGTCTCACAAGGTCTGATGGTTTTATAAGAGGAGTTTCCCTGCACAAGCTCTCTATTTGCCTGCTGCCTACCATGTAAGATGTGACTTGCTTCTCCTTGCCTTTGGCCATGATTGTGAGGCTTCCCAGACACGTGAAACTATAAATCCATCAAACCTCTTTCTTTTGCAAATTGCCCAGTCAGCAGTGTGGAAATGTGCTAAACAAGCAATGAATTATTCATGAGTTTTCCAGGAAAGGGGCAGGCAGTTCCTGCAGGTGTGGGGTCCTCGCTTTTTTAGGCCATATAGAGTAACTTTCTGACATTGCCATGACATTTGTAAACCATCATGGAGCTGGTGGGACTGTAACAGTGGGGAAGACCAGAGATCACTCTCATTGCCATCTTGGTTTTGGTGAGTTTTAGCTAGCTTCTTTACTGTAACCTGTTTTATCAACAAGGTCTTTATGACCTGTATTTTTGTGCTGACCTCTTCCCATCTCATGCTGTGACTAAGAATGACTTACCCTCCTCGGAATGCAGCCCTATGGGTCTCAGCTTCATTTTACCCAGCCCCTATTCAAGATAATGTTGCTCTTTCATTTAGATGTCTCTGACAAGTTACTCTTACTGTCTGCATATGAAAACAGAACTGCATAAAGTATAAATGGTGGTTCATCAGGTAAAGTAGGCTTACTTCTTTTTTTCAGCTATCCATTCTGAGTCCAGGCATAGAAAATGCCTTTTTCGTTCTAGTCATTAATGGGCTCTACCTTGAACTCAGTAGGACCACCTATTAAACTAATTTGATTTCCAAAATATCTTTGTGTCGGTTAGCTGGCTATTTTGAAACTCTCTTGTAAAATAAGTTTACATCAATAAAGGAAATCTCCATTTGTATGGGTGTTTCCTCCATTCACTGGGAAGAGAGACTGAGTCACTAGAAATTCTCACAATGCAAAAGGTATTAGTTTACATTTGTATAACAAGGCTTTACTTTGCTTAAGGTGCTTTTCTAGTGGCTTCACTGGTCCTTTGCCTATACCCTCCTTCTTTGCTTTGGGCAAACTTAGGCCAGAAGTAGTAAGTGGTTTTGGGGAAAGATGAATGGGCCCTTAAAAGAAGGATGAGTGCTGGTTTGTGACAAGGTCCATCTGGGTGTAATGAAGTCTCCTCTCCTGCAGTAAAAGTTTATCTTTCCTGGTTGCTGGAACTCTCAAGGAAGAAGACAATTGACAATTGAGTTCTTCTGGAAAATCTGTCTTTAGGCCAGGCATGGAGGGTCATGCCTGTAATCCTAGCACTTTGGGAGGTGGCTCAGGAGTTCAAGACCACTCTGGGCAGCATGGGGAATCCCCACCTTTACTAAAATCACAAAAATTAGCTGGGCATGGTAGCAGGTGCCTATAGTCCCAGCTACTCGGGAGGCTGAGGCAAGAGAATCACTTGAACACTGGAGACAGCAGTTGCAGTGTGCTGAGCTCGTGCCACTGTACTCCAGCCTGGGTGATAGTATAAGACTCCGTCTCTAAAACAAAACAAAAAACCAGAAAATCTGTCTTTAGAGAGGTAAGAATTCATAAAGCCTCACTGATTACATATTGGTAACAATAATATACGAAAGCAACATATTTTCAGGTGATATTTTCTGAACTTTTACAATGTCTAGCTTTGTTTAATGATGTTGGGAATGGGTTTATAACATTGGGAAAAATCCACACTGAGACAATAGATTACTGAGCAAGGTTAGTTTACTTCCTGCAGGAAGGGTGCAACTTACTGCAGTCTTGCCACAAGAGCACACCTGAACAAAGGAGACAGGGACATTTATAACTTTCATAATCTGACTCAATCGTCCTACTGCTGTGTCCAGTTTCCATTGCCTAGAACGGGACCTCACATTCTATGCTTGACCCAATTGGCCAAAAACTTGGAAATTTCCTGAATAGATAAGGGGGAAGAGGAGGAAGAAGAGGAAGCCAGCCAGGAGAAGGTCAGGAGCATTTCCAAATAAGGAATGGCATGCACCAGGGTTTGGAGCTTGCCCAGTTCTGTTCAGACATGCTGGAGCGAGTCAAGGTAACAAATTTAAGATGTAGCTGATTTAGAGGATGGGTATATGTTTATGCTAATAGCAGATAATGGCCATACAGCAAGAGGTTATAACTCTTTATAATGTAGTCTAAGCTATAAACTTTGAAGAAGAACTTTCCCATCTCTCACAGTGAGAAATTCAAACATAATTGTTAAGAATGTATAACTAAGTGAATGTAAACAGCATAAAAATGTGTAAATAAACTTGTCATACTTTCGAAAATTTTTTTCAGCAATATAAAACCTTAAAGTTAGTTCCTTATAATATATCTGAGTTGTTTTTAAATTAAAATACTGAAACATTCATTATTAATCATAAGTTTATGTATTTCAAAATCCTGTTTTTATATAATACAGAGAAGATAAATGTGTTTGGATTCATTAATAAATATAAAAAATTGAGGAAATAGAGTTTTCTAAAAGTTATAAAATGATTTCATCTATACTGAAATGAAATAAGACAATTCAAAGCTACTTACAACCTACGTTTTTCACTGGAAATTGAAGTTACTAAGAGCTAAAATTTTAATTAATATATGTAATTAAAACTAGTACTAATAAGTGAAACAATTCTCTATGCAAAGTGTACAAGAAACATCATATTTTTTGGTGAGAATGGTAATAATAAGGAAGGCATAAAAAGGTAATTTTTGTTAGGAAAAGTGATTTTATCCAGTTTAGAGGTTATTTAAAGGTTGTTTCAGATTGTGTTTCCATTGTCGGCCTTTCTGCAGTAGGACCTTCTCCCCCAAATGTGGCAACCAAAAATATCCTCAGACATTGCCAGATGTTTCTCGGATGCAAGATTGCTCCAGGTTGAGATCCACAGAGGAGCCATATATTGAAGACCATGTCTGGGAGCTTCTACTTTGTAATCGTTGGCCATCATGATAATCCAGTTTTTGAAATGGAGTTTTTGCCAGCTGGGAAGGCAGAATCCAAAGACGACCATCGTCATCTGAACCAGCTCATAGCTCATGCTGCTCTTGACCTCGTAGATGAGAACATGTGGCTGTCGAACAACATGTACTTGAAAACGGTGGACAAGTTCAATGAATGGTTTGTGTCAGCATCTGTCACTGCGGGGCATATGAGATTTATTATGCTTCATGACATAAGACAAGAAGATGGAATAAAGAACTTCTTTACTGATGTTTATGATTTATATATAAAGTTTTCAATTAATCCATTTTATGAACCCAATTCTCCTATTCGATCAAGTGCATTTGACAGAAAAGTGCAGTTTCTTGGGAAGAAGCACCTTTTAAGCTGAATGCAGGGAATTCTGAAACAAACGATGTCACCACAGTGGTGTATACTCAGGAGTGTGTGCAATATAAGTTACTTGATTAAATAGCCTGGAAAACTTTTGTGTAGTCTTAGCTTATCTAAACCTAATGAAATTCCTTTTATATTTAAAAATCATACATTCTGTCTCATGTCACATATCAATTAGTATTTCCTTGTGAACAGTGTTATTTATAAAGAGCTCATGATCAAAAATAAGTATTTTTATTTAAAAATTGGGAATGACTTGCCCAATTCAGATAGGTTGATCTTTTGCTTTTTGAGATGGAGTTTCGCTCTGTTGCCCAGGCTGGAGTGCAATGGCGTTTTGCCCTCTGCAACCTCTGCCTCCCGACTCCAAGTGATTATCCTGCCTCAGCCTCCCAAAGTGCTGGGATTACCGGTGTGAGCCACTGTACCCAGCCCAGATAGGTTGATCTTAATGTAACAATCTCAAAACAAATGTCATAGTCACGATTTGGTAGATAGATTGAAAACTAAATATTTAAAACTAAAATATTCTGCAGTTGGGAAGGAAATGTGATAGGACATAATAAATGTTAATTTATTTATACATTTAGAGATGTTATAAAAATGTATAGACAGTATACACAGTGCTACTCAAGAAGCCAAAGAGACACTTGTGCAGTGCTAAGTGTCACATGTCTGCTTCTGCCAGAGGCTAGGAATAGTGATCCTGCTATAATGTGAGAACCTGGATCCATGTTTGTGGAATAAGAGGATGGGAGCAGTTGCCACAGTGAAGTTCGTTGTTTCTGTCACTTTATATTCTTGTATTACCTTTCCCTCAAACTGTTGATACCAGTACTTATAAAAAGTTGTAAGGTAATTTTTAGGATTGTTGTCAAAGAAAAGCTTGGATTACATTAACATTTGTCTCAGCCTTTTAGGTGATACACCAGAGGGGGCTGGGAATGGTCTCTTTGTTCCTATAAGTAGATCTTAACCGTAAAATAGTAAATTTCCACTGAGAAGCAAATAATACAACCTTTGCTAATTGGGAGCATATGAACAATTTTGTTCCATTCTGACTAACTTTTGAGCAAGTAATTCTAAGCTTTATCTTGTATCCTTGTGAAATTGCTACCATCATCTTAACCCTACTTATTTGATTTCTTAAAGATGTTTGTGCAAGGAAAAAAAACGTTTGTTTCGAAATGGAGGAACAAAGACAGAAATGATATAGACAAAACGGAATGGATATTAAAACTTTTTTAAAAAGAAAGAAAAAGAGTAAAAGAAAATCTTGTGTAGTTACACTAACGTTAAATGAATTAATTAGCCTTAATATCAAAAGTACACTAATACAAAACTAAAATTTGATTTCCTTTTTTAAATAATATTTTTCTGTATTATTAATAAGAAAGAATAAAAATTTTTTTTGTTTACGCTTTGAGTAAACTGTAGTAATAATAATAGCAATATAGGGGCAGAGAGAGAGAAAGGAACAGATTTTTTGTGTCTCATGCTGTCTTTATTAGGTCTTTGATTATTTGGAAAACAGTCTCCTATCTCAAAGAGTAATTTTTTTTTTTTTTAAATCTTTTAATTATCACTTTTGCAAAATGAATAGCTATTATTTTACAGTGACTTGTAATCCTATCTTGATGAATTGTTTTGAACTTTTGACATATTTTATAGGCTTCCTAAAATCAAATTTCAAAATCAAAATTAATTCTTTTTGACTTCAAACTGACTTTGGGTTGTTACAGAGGGCTCTCAAAGCAAATGAAAGAGAAAATAAACAGGCTTATTTGATATGTTAAATTATAAGAGTAGCATTGTCAGATGAGAGACGATGCCTAATCTTTTGAGTTATATTTGTGTAGATATGTTATTAATGTGTTCCAATATTATATGTAATTTCTAAAATTCTGATCTGTCTTTGTATATGCTCTCAGTCATAATTATGGTTATTATGTTAAATTATTATAGGCCACAGAAATAACCAAATTTTCTTATTAATTGTGTCTTTAACCATGATCATTTTAAGCCTTTGATGTCCACAGTTAATTGCTTAATTCTGATGCTTTTTCTGAAACCTCTTTGTAAGCAAGGGAATTCTAATGTGTTGTATCTTCAAGCAGGTTAATGGAAAGAATGGAAAGGACATTGACAAGTACAGGTTTCCGAGAATTCTAACCCAGTCCAATGGCATGGACTGGGTAAGAATTTGCAAAACTCTAATGAAAAGACTAGCTTATAAAACTGTTAACCCAAGAAGGACAATAATTAATTAAATACCAAGGAAATACATTGGTGGATTTTCATGCTAAGTCATACAGAACTGAATTTGTTTGAATGAACTCCATGATCCAAGTCAGATTACCTATGATAACTCATTTAATAAACAGCATTATGTACCTGAATAGGATAAATAAAATTTGTACTTAAGAGGATATAAGTCCAATGTTAAATGTAGACTCATGGAGAGCCTGGATGAACAACTGGTCCTTGTTTACTCTTTAAAGCTTCCATTATTAAAAGCTCAGCACTCTATGATTTATCATGGACGAGATAAAATGGTCCAAATTATGAAAAAAATACTAGTGTAGTGACTGTCCTAAAATTTCTAAAATGATATATGACCAATGTTTGGTTTTTCAAACACACAATTCTGGGAAGACAAATTTCAGGGTACATTTCTGCTACCCAATGAGCCATTTGAACACTTATAGGAGGATTTCATTCAACTGGTATTTTCAGTGCTCATTTTCTGGTTGTATAGAAGCTTTCCTCTGCAGGAAGGCTAATGTTACAACAGTAGCTAAAAGATTATTAGAAAATTTGTTTTCTTTATGGGGCATTCCTGGAGAAATCTCGTGATAGAGCTACTCACTTCGCTGGGCAAGTTGTAAAACAATTAAATATGTTACAGATACAGTAGGATTTGACAAAGCTAAGTGAATCTACTGGATTGCCTTGGTCAAGGTATTGCAAATTAGTGACAATCAGATCCATTTCCAGTGGAAAATATATTAACAGGCTGACTTTTTATGGAATAGTGACTGAAAGGCCTATGCCCCTAAAAATAGCACATCATGTATCTCCTGCTCCTAAACTCTGACATGACTAAACGCTGCTAGACTTCAGTGCTTTATACCCAAGTGTATTTTCATGAGTAAAGGAAGTTTTCATATTCCACTGACTGCAGACAATCAAACTCTTTTCAATCTAGAACCCAGAGAATCTCTTATCTTCTGTAAATGACATCAGAGAAAGACTGCCCTTGCCACCAACATTGCAGCAAAACTTTGGGACCTTAAACCTTGGGTCCCCATCTCACAACTCAAATAGACCCCTCCAGACTCTTGGAACTGTATACCCATTGGAGATCTTAAGGTAAACATAATGAGGTAAGTTTCTTCCTGGATGCAGATGGCATCCTAGATGTGGACAGCTTTTCCAAGATCATAGATCAAGACTTTCTTGTTATCATGAAACTCTTACTTTTCTTAATTGGTTTTTGTTTTGTTTTGTTTTGTTTTACTTATGTCTACCACTTTCACTTGGCAGAATAATGCTGCAAATAGAATTTCACAATCAATAGCTTTTGTGGGCAACTCAATGGGGTATTGAATTTGCCATGCCAAACTCAGATCTTTATGTAACCTAAGGGATCCTTTGGTTAACCCATTGGGTAACTTTAGCAACATCTCAACATAACTTGTTCAAATTGTACTAGTGGTAAGATTTCTAGCCCCACTTGTTCTCACTTACTATTTTAACTCAATAATGAGATGCAAGAACCAGAAACAATGAACATATCATAAGAAAGATTTGCACCAAATCCCAAATGGAGTTTATTGCAAATTGACTTACGTGCCAGGGACTTTTATGCTTTTTTAGCCTGTAATAACTCCAGCACAGACTCTGTCAAGAAACTGCAAACTTCACCATTTCAGATAGTGTATCATTAAAATAAAGCTGGAAAATGGGCTTTGTGTGCACCCATGGGGTATACTTTTATTTGTGGTGGATTTTACAGTGAATCTTATACATGGGCAAACATATGCCTTGATATATGGAAGACAAATGTACATGGTAGGCTAGGAATTCTATTTTTTATTTTTGTTTTTTGAGATGTGGTCTTGTTCTGTCACCCAGGCTAAGGTGCAGGGCATGATCATGATTCACTGTAGTCTTGACCTCCAAGCCTCAAGCAATCTTCTTGCTTCAGCCTCCCAATTAGTTGGTACTATAGGTATATATCACCATGCCTAAATTTAAACAAATTTTTTTTGTAGAGATAGGGGTCTCCCTATGTCGCCCAGGCTGATCTCAAACTCAAGTGATCCTCCTGTCTTACCTCCCAAAGTGCTGAGACTATAGGCATGAGCCACCATGCCTGGCCTGGGCTTGGAATTTTAATTGTACATTTCTTGCTCCATAATCATTTAGCTCCATAATCATAATCCACTCTTGTTAGCCTACATGTTAAGTTAAAGAGAATATTGCCAGGAAGCTTTTACCCTTCTGTATGGGCATACTTGTTAGGCCTCTTTAATCTATGACTTAGAGTAAATATAAATAAGGCAAGGATTAAAAATTTATCCTAGCCGGGCGCGGTGGCTCACGCCTGTAATCCCAGCACTTTGGGAGGCCGAGGCGGGTGGATCACGAGGTCAAGAGATCGAGACCATCCTGGTCAAAATGGTGAAACCCCGTCTCTACTAAAAATACAAAAATTAGCTGGGCATATTGGCGCATGCCTGTAATCCCAGCTACTCAGGAGGCTGAGGCAGGAGAATTGCCTGAACCCAGGAGGCGGAGGTTGCCGTGAGCCGAGATCGCGCCATTGCACTCCAGCCTGGGTAACATGAGTGAAACTCCGTCTCAAAAAAAAAAAAAAAAAAAAAAAAAATTTATCCTGCATATAGACTCTATAGCAGATTCTACTGCAAAGACTCTAACTTCACAACAGACTTTTAAAATTTATCTTGCTAAAGGTATGCTAGATAATAGAATTACTCTAGATTACCAACTGGCTAACCAGAAAGGAATCTGTACAGTTGCTGACACTTCTTTTTGCACACATAGATGAATACATTGATATTATAAATTCAGTCACAGGAAATTAACAAACAGGCTTCTTGGTTAAAACAAGTAGGCTG